ATGTTGGATTTCTTCAAACATCAGAAGGACGAAAAGTAGGAGTATATAAAGAATGAATAGAAATGAAAATATATTAATTCATCATTTACGATATTATAATTAAGACTTGCCACAGATTTTTCACTGAGTGATTGTCGACCTGCAAAGACTGAATATTATTCCCAGTATATTGTTAATTTTCATCATTTATGACGAGAGCTCGAAAATCTGAATAAGAAAAGATACTTCTTTTCTACTTATTAGTATTCATAAAAACTGACTTCACTATTTGAGTCCTGGCTTTGTGTACCATAATGAACCGACATTAAACGTAATAAGTGTAACTCAAAACACATGTCCACTCAAGATTTAGTGTTCTATACATAATACTTAATCCTAGTATAAAATTGAAAAATTTAATTCTAATCTCTGAGGTGAATTTGAAATTGGCTTTTATTCACTCTAAATTAAGTATAAAGATCTTAGTACTTCACCCTTCCTCGAAAAATTATTTACTACGTACAACCGACCTCTGTAATACGCATGATATTCGAAAATTTCATTATTTCGATAGGCGTGGCAGCAAGTGAGAAATGCTTCGGTTCTCGCCTTTGGATTTTGTACTGTATAAACATGAGCAAAGAGGTTATAAAATAGAAACGAAATCCCTTTAACGAGGTCACAGGTGTTGGGCTGAAGCAAAAATTGAAACGTAATATTACGTACAAAATAAAAGGGGTCAGGATTTTTACTTCTACTAACAATTAAACAGCATAGAAACAAAATTCTGAAAATATGTACATTTGCCATTAGAAGAAGAGTTTAAGGCGCGATTATTAACATATATGAGATTAAGTAATTTTTACAAATATTGGATTGAAAATTTATTTCTGTGAGATGGATTGTCAAAAGAGGTTTAACCTACTTCCTTTCTTTACCAACATGTTAAGACGTTTATCCTTATTGCGTATACCTGTCCATACTATGATATTCTAATACAATTCTATACATAATCCGAAAAGTTTGTGCCTATTCAGTGAAACATAGTGATGATGTGACTTTTCGATCATTATTTTTGTGCAGCTATATGTCAAATGTTCGGAGTTGGATTCAAACCTCACTGATGTACTACGTTAACACATTCTTAACATTAGTTGATTAGTCGAGTACGCCTACGGAGGATTTAAGCCGTATTAAGTTAATCTGTAATACCAGTCTAAGAATCGTGATCTCATGGCAATTAAAACATATTGTATTTTCCCTTGGTACGTATCTTTGGCTATTTTTTCTGATATACGGCCTCACCAATTTGATTAACCAAAGGTGACGTTACCATAACTCTACACCAATGAATGTGTAGACATTTAACAATAAAAATTACCACACAGCTATCAAGTAATATTTATTGCTAATATCAAGTAATATTTATTGCTAATTCTTTGCTATTTATAACATTTCTACTTCAATCGTAATTCTGCTGCTCCTTTACTGGATTATAAAAAACACTTTTAGCACTTTTAATAAGTTTATTTTAACAAAAGTTTTTTGACATTTTTGTTTTTTTAATGATTGTATCTTTTATAAATATATGGAATTAAACAACACAGCAATAAAAATGAACGGGTCGAAAAAAATTACCAATTTACTAACATTTTCACCAAAGTGTTTCCTGCATTAAACGCCTGACCTCATCAAAATTTGTTTGAACAAAGATTTTTTAACTGTACTTTTTATACATCACATTCACAGATTTTAAATAAAATTCTGAATTTATAATATTTTTTACATTTATTATGTAAGTGCTTCTTTATTGTGTAAGCAATTTGATTTTGTTTTTATTAAATAAACTCTGTGAATATAAATAATGAAAAGGTTCCACAAGATTTTTTAATTTAAAATTTGTTTTAATAAAAAAGATAAAACTGTTTTCTCATAAAACTACAGTAACGACGTGTTTCCTGCTTATTTTTCTGATGTTGGCACGCTACAAAGACCTATTGTCTTCGATAGGAAATGAGAAAACTAACTAAATAAAATAGATGAAATTGCGTTGCATCAAACTACTGGGTACATACAATGTAAAACGAAATTAACTAGTTAATTATCACTACGAAAAGAGTAATGATGACATTGTAGAATGATTTATCGTACTATGTTAGTAAGTAGGGCTCGTGTTCACTTCACTGTGACTTCAGTCGAGTTTTAAATTATTTATGAAGTAACCGCAGAAGTCTCGGAACGTGGTAAGACGCTGACTTTAAAACCTTAGTGATTCGTTTTAACGATCTTGTATAAAGTTTCTGGTACTAGTAGAACTTAAGAAGCTAAAGTTGTTTTGATATAACTAGCAAATATTAGCAATCGAACAGATCAAAAAGCGACTCCAACTTTTAATTAGAATAAATTACCAGGTTTGATTCACTGTAAAAACTTTAAAAAAAAACCAACTTCAAACTTTAAAAAAGTGATAAATAATACTTATCTCAAAAGTGACTTATTAAAAAAATGCTATTGGAGTCCGGCTGAGGTTTCTGTAGGTTTATAACTAGTGTAGAAAACTATTTTCTTGAATAAGTCGCTTTTGAGATAAGCGTTATTTATCATCGATGCTCCTTTTCTTTTGGAAAAAGTATATATTTTCGGGTACCCGGGACACAAGAGAGAGAGAGAGTCGTAAGAAAGCACTTTTTGCTTTAAAAGCGGCTAAAACTCACTACGGAAGCAATAGTTACATGAATAGAGTTTGTACACTACACAACGATAGATTCAGTGATATTGACATTTTTGAGACATCCTTAACTAGGTTCAAACGCCACATCGTGCAACGCCCAAATTATTTAGATTAAGTGTAGGTATATTTATTTTATTTTATGTTAGAGAATACTCATTGATGTTGAAATCTGATTGTAATCATTATAATAGAATTGGAGCCTCTGTAATACTTTATATGTATGTATTTAAATATGCCTAAATGTTGTATTATATTCTTTATGTTTGATCTTTTATGTTGTTTACCGTTTCTTTATGTTAATCTTGTTATATTTTTTTTTTTTGGTTCATGTATTTTGTTGAAACTCTTTGTTTCTTAATAAAATAATAACAAAAATATACGGCGAATAACATATTTTGTTTTGTTATGAAAGTAAAACTACTGATTCGATTTCGATAAAATTTAAATGGGAGCACCTCGGTCCATTACACTATCAAATAAAAAAGTTTTTTTGTAAATCGGTCAACAATTAGCGGAAATATCGGTAAACATAAATAAAAATAAACATAAATAAAGGAATACATCGGCGTTGAGTATATAACCTCATTTTGGATTTTAAAGTCGGTTAAAAAATAAACTAAGATATTTATCAAACATTAATTTGCCAAACTTACGTTTTATACATTTCGCTTTGATAATTTAAGTACTAATATGTGCCCTGTGAACTATAGTGCGCCTATAAAAATTGATCCCATTGTAGACGACTTTCTTAGTCGAGTGGTTCGCACGCCGGTTTCAAGGAGTCGCCATCTCTGAGGTAAAGGGATCGATTCCCATTTGGGTCAATCAACTAAAAGAACTTCTCTATTGTTATTAGGATTTTAGCTCTAACCTTGAAATCTGAGCAACGTATGTCATATTTTTTAATGTACATATATTATTGTTGAATTTGATAATTTTTGTACTAATATTAATCTTGTAAAAACATTAAAGAATTGGAACACTTCAGGTGCCCGAATGAATTCGAACCCATTTCAGTTACAGCTTGCGATTTACACTGTCGAGGTACTACACTACTTCCAAATCAAATAGAATCGAATAGTGTCCGCTTTCTGAGAATTGGTATCGATTATAGATGTATCGGCCAACAACGGCTTTACTAATCTTCTGAAATGCCCTTTTACATAGGGCATAAACTCACTGTTCATTTATTTGTCATTGATACAAAGTTTATGTCACCGTAATAAACCGTAATTGTCCTTTATGCAACTGTGCGCGCTACCGCATAAATTCATAGGCCCAAGCTTACCACACCCACACTGCAGCCAATTGTAGGAGAAAAAATGTCACAACGACAAAAATTCACAGTTCGCAGGAGACAAAATGTCACGACGTCAAAAAGTCACAGTCTTAACTGATATCGACCGACCTTAAGATCGAAAATTTTCGGTCACTCATCAGATAATTTTTGTAAAACTTGCTTAGCCTCTACAATCATAAACACAATACGCTAACTACTATGCCACCTGGCTCTTTAGTGGCAGAGAATATAACAACTCATCAATGTCTTTCTTTGTTACTATAATCCAAAGTTTTACATACACTATTCGCCCACTTAGTGACTTATTGTCGATGTGAGATTTTGGTCTCCTGTCACCGTTTCTGTGTATCCTTGTGGCGGCATGTGCACTCGAACACTTGATAATTAAGTGATAACACACGACAGAAGCACGGTAATAGAAACAATAAGTTAAGCTGATAAAGAGGCCACCAGTGGCCACTAGCCTCATAACGTGTTAAACTTAAACTTTGGATAAAAATTAAAACAATTTAAAATGACTATTAAAGACTTTACCCGCAACACTGAACCAGAAAAAGGGACATATTTTCCCTATTTCGTGGCCAATCCAGTTATTGTCACTGCCATCTTTTTGACCGATTGGAACTTCAAAGTGTTTTATTTAACACATAGGCAAATATATTACTTTACGTGAATGGATTTAAAATGTTGCATTATAGCAAAACTAACAGCGATTTCAGCGATGTGTTAAAGTTAAATTTTAAAGTGGCCAAAACTTGGTTACGGAAATAATCAAACTTTAAATTAATTTTACTAAACACCTGCCACCAACTTTTCTAGATGTAAATGAGAGAAAAATATATTGAATTAATATTTCAAAATATCGTTTAGGGCGCGTTGAATTTTTTATATTTCATAGTTAAAAAACTATTTCGACTTTTTTTGTACTAAGTACGCTATGAAATCGATATCGCTGTGTATGTATGACAAATAACAATTTAAGTAAAAACTAAATTAAAACAACTTTATTGTCAAATTTATTGACTTATTTTATATACATAAATAATAGCTACTTAAAATAAAATATTCACATGACAACACAAAAAGTTGAAAACAAAAGATAAACATTGTATTGTATAATAATATTTCACTTCGTGTTAAAAAAATACCATTAATTCTGTATATTTACAAACTTCGAAACTATGATGTTTTTTGTTACAAGTACCTAATCTTTGGTAAAAAGCTTATTGCTAAAAACGACATGAAAACAAATATCGAAATCGACAGGGAAATATTAAAAATTTATTCGATTATATCGTTCAAGACAAGTACTAAAAAAGCTTAATTAATATAAAAAAAAATCTTATATACTTATGATCGATTAAATCTACCAGTAAAAAAAACGGTCTTAACGACTTGACAAGCTGGTACTGATAAATAGATTTACACTTTAATAAATAAGTACAGTGGTGAGCTAACTTACCCCTCTAGCGAGTTAAGTTATTTTTGTTTGTGTTCGAACGACAATAAGAACTTTACTCGGCAGAGAGACAAGTTACCTCGTAATGATAATATCATTACCACTTAATTCATAATGTTACAGATAAACGATATTAATTACATGTGTGTTTTATATATGTAGTTTGAAGTTATTTTAGGTGAATAACTGTTTTTTTTTCTGATAAATTATTTTTTAATTTATAAAATTTTGTTAGGCTAGTGAGTGCCGCGATTTCAATTCTGAACAGCTCCTCTTAAAGACTTAGGATCAAGAAGTATCTTTTATGTAAAACAATTAACAGGGCAACATCAAATTTCATTTTCTTTAATATAATTCGTATTTTAAATTTAAATGTCAAAGGAAACGCCGCGACGACGTACAATTCTAAGTATTAACAAGAGTTTAATCCGTCTTACAACAGAAACTGCTCCCAAAAAGGATTAATACCATTTAAGTTCAAATGCAAATGAGGACTCTGCTAATGAAAACTCGATTAAGGCAATTCCCAGTTAATTTCGTCATCGTATTTCTCGTTGTCCTTGAGGGAGTCGAAAATGGGCAGTTTCGACAGAAGTCCTGTAACAGAAAAACCCAATTTGAATAAAGTATTCTTACATTGTTTTTAAATTAACTTAGTCAAATTTATTCAATACCTAAATATTTAGGACGTAGTTTGCATGAAATCTGGTCGCTGGCCTACAGTGATTGCTTTAATTATATTACTACCGCGGTCTTAAATCGTTTTTGGAAGCAAATTTTGTTTGATATATGTCAAAATTATTTTTTACTTGCTTAAAATTGGAACCTTTATGCAACCATAATAATGTGCCTTTCATATAATTTGTTTTATAATGTTCATTATATTTTTCCAAAAAAATATATAATTTTTCCGTATAAACTGACTAAGGCACACCTTATTTATTACCATGTATAAGATTTATTTTTTGAAAACAATAAAAGTCATTCTTCTCTGAAGAACAATTTTGGTTTTGCGGAATACTAAGTGTTTGCTTTCCAGTGTCAATATGTACTGTAAACCCCCTTCAAAAGGATTCACAGGTACCCAACCGAAAATGCATGTAAATATATAAATAACATTAGCAATTACAAGATTTTCAACAAAATTTACACTGGTTCTTTGATTGGATTAAAGACTTTTTGTGTATTATTCACATTCTCAATTAAATCTTGACTTGATTGAATTTTATACAGCGTATTAAACGGGACGACGAAACGTATTAAGCATTAAGAATGTAGAAAAACATGTCTGAAGTTGCAAGCACTGGCGTAAAATAGCGTATTATGCGAGAAATTTTAAATGTAATCGTGTTTCTATTGTATATGCTATTGATCCGGAGATTCACCTTTCACGTACATTTCTTTATTCTCTTTACTAGCTTAAATTTTTTATTCTCTTTACCTTCAATTAAATCAGCTTAGCTGTATCGTCGAGAAAGTCTAACAGACATGGAAAATTTCACATTTACAACATTAGCACGGGTTATTTTATTTCTAATCTCAGTCATTGATGTACCAATTTATACATACATATTCCCAACTGTAGGGGCTCAGGCCATCCTAAAGATGGTTAAGTTAATATACACTTATATATTCAAGTAATATTTATTACTAAAATTGAAATCCAAAATAATGGAATGAAATAACATTTTGATACTTAAAACTTTAAGTGCTTCATTTTAATTAACTTTCAACGATCGTTGTTAAGTTAACAAATAACCGCGTCAGATATATTTATTTACTTAATTCTGTTAAAATAGGCTTTCATATTTAAATTTCAATGAATACAAAACATTAAGGAGTAATCGATAATATATATTTTTTTACCGATTTCAAAGATGAAGGCTCCGTGTTTGACTGGAATATATTTTTTATTATTATATATTCACTGAATTATAGATTTTCAAAACTTAAGGACCTGAGGCAGTTCCATTAAAAATAACCGAAATCGTATAAATTACTTGACAATATATTTATATCGTAGAAGCAAAAAAAAATGTTATACTTATAGTAGATATCACGGATCCTGCAAAGGATAAGGCACTAAATACGTACTATTTGATAATACATATAAACCCTTGAAAACACGTTTTTAATCTATTTCACTAAACAAGAAAGTAAGGATATATAGCGTAATTTTACTGTTCGTTGCTAGTTTTTTTTACTAAACCTTTGATGTCAAAATCTAATATGCCGCAGGTAAACGCCACACGGGAGCGACAAAGACAATAAGTGTCCTCACTCCAATTTCACCGGAATAATTTTGAAACTTTATAATAATTAAATTACTCCACCCCATTTTACCTTATTCCATTTACGTTTGGCGTCAATTAAACACTCTCTAGATGGTTCTCTCTTATTTTTTAAACTTGACACGTGTTTACCCGCTGCGACTGCTTAAACTACACGAGTGCACTATTATTATAGTACACAGGTGTATCATTATTCAAGTACTAATGTCAAAAGCAACGCGATCGCTTTGCATATCTAGGGCGGTAGATCTCATTCCAAAAAGAACCGACTAGAAAATCAGCAAGGGCTGTTTTTTCTCCCTGCTTTCTTTCATACAGAGATAAAAATATATTTCATATATTATATTTCTTAGACTAACTTTCCTCGTCCGACGTCATCTGCGTGATCCAGTTTTATACATTTAAACCTTCTTCTTTGAATCACTCTGTATATAGATGAAAAGCGCATCAAAATCCGTTGCTTAGTTTTAAAGATCTCAGCGTATAGATATCGAGAAGCGACTTTGTTTTATACTAAGTAAAAATAAAATGTGACAATGAAATAACTTAAAACAAACTCAAATGAAAAATTTAAAGTCTTTGGTTGAATTTAGATATTGGCACCATTATCTATATTAATCAAATTCTTGCGTTACTGAGTGACTGACTGACTGACAGACAACGTACAGCCGAAACTACTGAGCGTAGAAAGTTGAAATTTGGAATGAAGATTCCTTAGGCAGTGTAAAGGAGTACTGAAGGGGGATTTTTGAAAATTTCACCCCGGAGGGGCTAAATTAAGTGATGAACGTTTGTATGAAACTTCGTTACTATAAGTGCTAGGAGTCTCAAATTTGCATGCGGATTCTTTTTAGGACGGGTGCTCACTAAGACTGGATTTTACGGGGATGAAAGTTTTTATGGAATTTTCTCATTACTGGACTTATAACTAGACCACGCGGGGAAGTCACGGGCAGAAACTAGTGTTTGATATCAGCTTTTGTCTCTTCAGATAGATAATTGTTCAAGTCCATTATGATATAATAATAATAGAAGAACGCGGAAGTGGACATTCCCACAGTAATGGTTTGCGTTAACAATGGTGGAATATCAAGGATGACACCGCATACCTCACGCGTTTCATATCATGCGGTTCCTGCAGGCATCTATATATTGCAAAATAGAACCGAGAACATCTTCAAAACGTTTAACAACGCTCTTGAGGAAATATTGCTGGACTATTATTGGACTGGACTATTATTGGCTGGACATTTCTAGATAAGAAAGAACATCATGGCAGACCATGACAATTCATGTTTAATGTACCCAATACGCCAAAAAGATTTAAAGGAAACCAATTTCTTGGGTCATTTTTAGTACTATCGTGATACTAAAAATGACCCAAGAAATTGGTTCTGTTAGTATAACTTATCTAGTTACCGGTATTAAGAGTTCCATTGTTTAGATACAACATAATCTAACTAGCTATTGTAATTAAGTAGCTTATGTTAAGTAGGGCAAGTTCAGTAATTTTACTCTATAAGCGAACCAAACCACACCCTATGCTTATGAAGGCTTGAGTACACCGAATTATATACACAACATTATTGCTATTAAGTAATGTAATTTACATAACTTAAAAGGGAAGGGGAAATTAGTGGAGACAATTCTGTAATAGAAAATCTAATTTTACTTAAAATTTGGTTTTTACCTGTAACATATCCAGACACTAACGCTAACACTAATGTAACGGCTAATGCTATAAATTGGTACAGAGCTTGGCTTGCCGCAGTTCTACCACCCTGAAAGCATAAACAAAAATATTACTTAGAATGCGGATTTAGTTTGCATGGAACAAGAAACTGCAGCAACAATTTTTACTTGAAGCTTAGGATTTTCCGAAGTGAATATTAATTATGAAATTTTAATTTCACACACCACTGAACGTCAGTCAGATACAAATATTCAAATAACTTTTTAAACTGAACGAATGAATTAAGTTTCAAAAATCATAGATGAATTGGACAGGTGTGGACGACCTGCTAAATACTTACAAATCTTAACATAATACTAGTAAACTCTAAAGCCAACATTTATTAATCGACATTTAACTTATAACACTTACTTCTTCGCCCATAGCTTCAAAAACAGTACCGAGTTCGGTAGCACCATATGCTTCCTTGGTAGCAAGAGCAGCAAAGAGAACTGACAGCAATCCAGAATACAATCCTGGCATACCGTGAAGATTGTTAACACCACATGTGTCCAGAATACCAATCTTCGTAAGTTTTGGCTGAGAGCAGAAAGTGGAACCCGTTAATCAGTTGCGATATAACACCGAAACAATTTGCAATTTTATGCTACAGCGTTTTGGTATTTCCATTACTTTTTTTCATTAATACCAGCCTTTTGTCAGGATTGTGATTGAAAAATAATTTGACGTAAGTGTTTATTCCCATCAATATTTTCCAAACCGCAGAAAGTGGAACTCCCGACTATTTGAATTTTTGCTTAAATCCAAGCATCTGGCTAACCGTCGTGGCAAAATTATACCTCCCTCGGATACATAGGGAGAAAATTTGCATATATTCAAGTAAGTCTTAAGCTAATTCACATAAAATCTTAATGAATTATAAAATAAATCTCCCTTAAGGTACACACAGCAGAACATCGGATTACCGATATGTATTTTTTTATTTTGCAATCGAACTTGAATTCTATTCGCAAGGCATTAAAGCGTTTGATAGTTATCATGATTTGCTATTAACTGTACTATGTCGCCTATTGATGAGAACCGTATGAAAATTCATTTAATAGTGTTCCGCTTTAAGACAAATCTATTACTAGCAGTTAGAACTAGATATTCAGTTTTAGATTTATGCAGCGAAACTCAATTATATATTTAAGATTATGGAAGTCGGTTACGGTCTAAAGCACCAGCACACCATATACCTGTCTGGAAACATGTCTTCTTTATGAATAGAATCAAATAGGAATAACATGCCACAACACCTAGAAGGCCTAATACTAATTGGATACTAACAATTATATTTGTACCCGGCAATTTTACCTTAGGCGACTCCTAAATATTAAGGTGGCAGTTTTGGACCAGTCCTAAGTTTAGTGAAAACGGGCATCAATGTTTCATGTCTATAAGTTCATTCAATAACCACGCAATATTGACCCAATTGGCGCTAGTGTACTAAATCAAGAGTAGGAAACGTCACAATTGCAATGTTGATCGATCGCGTTTTGGTTCAAGAGTAAGCTAATCTGTATGATCACCGATCAAGTCAGTGCAGTCATCAGTTAAATGCTGCATATCTATGAGAAATCCCTAATAATTAATAAAGAATATTTTAATGAAAAATGCATAAGAAATCATATTTATCCCTGGTACTCTTCGATGGGATTCGAACCTATGAACTCGTGCAATCCGGGCGACTGCTCTAACCGTGAGCTACCCATTACCGAAGAGACACCTAGAGGGTGTCATTACGAACATTTTCCAGTATATCATCTGTGAGGACCTGTAATTGGCTTCCTGTAGTCTATTTTATCACTATGTATTTGTTCTAGGTGTTGGTCTTCCCAAAATAAATAAATAAAATAAAATAGGATTATGAATGCAAAATTGATCAAATATAATAATTAGTAAAGAAGTTTCTGTTATGACATTAATAAAACCAACCGTCAAATATCTGTAGCCTAGAACACTCAGCAGGCCAGCTCCAATTCCTACAGCTACAGCACCTCCTGGACCAATATACATATTGCAAACAGAGCCTACACCAACACCACCAGCCAGCGTGGAGTTCTGTATGTGGACCATGTCGAACCTGCCGTGGTGTTTGCTAACAGCCGATGATAAGACGAAGGTAGTCACCTGAAAAAATTGACCACCTTTAAATCTATAGCATCTCAATTTCAAGCTATTTCCTTTTTTTTTATAGATGAAGACTTTTAAAGCTTCTGCACCTTAAAAGTCAAAAACATAATTCTTATAGAATCACTAGTATGTGTTTGTATAGATTTTTATATTTAAATGAAATTGTCTATCCATGAGTCGGACTCACTTTTTGCTGAATTTTCGTTTTTATGACTTTTCTGTGTAGATAATAGATTTTTTTACTTGAAACAATGTAACATTATTATCTATTACTGTACTAAATATGAGATCAAATCTTTAATTATAAGTCTTTGGACATTTCATTTGCAATCCTAATATTCCATCGATTTCCTATTTGTTTTTCATTCAAGATCAGACAAGGTCATTAGTAAAAACATGTACTGAATCGACTTTTTGTTGTATCTATTATTTGTTTATTCATTAAAAGACACCAAAAATAATAAAAGTTATGAGATTGAAAGTAATACAAGAGAACTTCCGCCATTGATTCATTAAAAAATAAAAATTCCATTTGTTTTCAAAATATTTATATTTTTCATGTCATACCACAGTGACAAAAGACGTGCTTCCTAAATCGTTATTCATAAACTGCATATTCACTGTTCCTTATTGAATTTGATGGGAACACATTTTCATATTAAAACTTCTCAACTTTATGCATAGCGTGTTACAGGGAACGTCGACTGCATAAACAACTAAAGAATTTGATCGGAACTTTACACATCGTCATCATATACTATTATAAACAACTTAATCTTCTAAAAAGTTACGGATGGTATTTTAGGGGTTAGATTCACCAACTCATATAATAATAAGTTATTTGGCAATGGTAACATGATGTCATAACCGCATTAGTTTCGCTAGTTAACGTTATTATTTACTATGCCAAGAAAGAAGATGACACAACGCATTCCACAGTCAATGTTAAAGTCAGCGTGACAGATACTGCCGAAATTGACAAAAACCTTCAACTGCAATTATTTAATTAATTTCGGCCATCAATACTGCGGATTTTTAATAGATACGAGATTAAACACTGCTGGAGAATAGTAGTGTTTCAGAAGATTCCACTTGATTAAATAGGGATTCCACTCAATTATAAAGATACTGTGTGTGAAATTTGGATACAGTCGTGCATTGTCTTTTTTATAATTCTCTCATATACTTGTGTTCCACTTACAACTGTAGCATTGCTGCTGGTTGGTTATAGATAGAGTAACAATTTAATGCCAAGCGACGTGTTCAGCCCTCAGATTCAACAATAAATTTTATTCGCTTTTAACGTATAGCACTGCCCTTAATTCTACTTTATGTGTTAATCATGGATACCAACGTGGTTAAAACCTGTTTTATGACAAGTAGTGTCATATCAGAATTTATTTAACAAGAGTAATACATTTACGGTACTCTATAAAATAATAAAAAAATGTGCAATATAATGTAGTGATAATAGATATACTCGTATGTCAACTAAGATATTAAAAAATATTATTATTATACGCTTTTTCGTTTTTTTATATATATTACAGAAAAGAAGCGAACGCCAACGGCGTGTTAACAAAAATATATAAATATAATATATGCCTGACTGATATAACCATACCGCTATAGATATACCCATTAGTAGGTATATGAACCACGCTATAAACTGTTTAAGTTTACATTTAATTAGTTGCACACTCAGTTATTACTGTGATTATAGTGAAAAGACCTGTTAAAAATAACCGACGCCATTTAATGCAAACAATAATTAGGCAGCGATTTCATAATCAATACTTTGATTAAATTAATTCTCGTTTTTTTGAAATTCTAATGCACTCTTGAATAATTTGAAACGTATAGCCAATTTTGACAACTTCCGTTATCCCTTACCGTAGCAGCCGCTAGTGACAAATACGTATTAACAACGGCCCTTGTGTATTCTTCATCAGAATTAGTCAAACCAGAATTAAAAGATGGCCAATAAATCCATAAGAAGATTGACCCTGCAAAGAGTTTCAAAATTACTGGATATAAAAAATGCTACGAACGGTATCCAATGCTATTTTTAAAAGCACAAACTTCGTCATTAATTTCTCATAAACAACAAAAAATTTAAATACAATAGAACTAAATGTTCATGGTCTTTGCAAGTCACAGATTTTTCCAAATTCCTATTTTTGTATTAATTTCTTCTTTAATCTGGAGTTCATGTGCTTTCTTAATTCCAAATAGTTTGAATATTAATATTTTATCAAAGATATTATTCGATTAACAATTTTAAATAAATCTTGTCCTGAATAAACAATTTAACTTACCAATCATAGCTGTGACATCAGAAACATAACTCGGTCCGTTAAGATCGACTGTCACTACGTTGTTACTGTTAGTTTCTTCACTTTTTTTAGCTCTCATAGCTATACTTGCACCGAAACCGAAATAAGCTCCGAAAGCATGAATTGCTATGGAACCTCCGACATCTGATACCTAAAATTGTGTATGACATTTAAGTTTTTAAAAGAGGTTAATTTGTTTCAAATGTCGAAAGTGATGAACCATTAATCGATATATAAAGTAATAATCGACATCATCGTCAGTCTTATAATGTTTCTAAGATTGTAACACTGATCTTCCCTATAGATAAAGGAAACACTATAACATGCAACGGGATCAATAGGAAATAACGACCACAAACGCAATCGGTACTCTTAAAATCGAAATTTGATGTATCGTGGCCGGATTCGTCGTCTTTACCACTTTAAATTGTTTTTTTTTTATTGTCATACAGTAGAACGAGGCCCAATGAAGTTGGCAATATATCGAAAATTGATTGTTAGACTACAACCTTATTTTTAATCTGCATTCTGAAACACGGAAACACTTAATATTGCAAATTTTTGGTCATTCATCGGATGATTAGGCTTTGCAAAAGTTGCTCGCAGTCACCAATTATCAAACGGGTGACAAAAATTAACAATAAATTGGTGCGTAGATTTGCAATCACGACCTAATAACTATACTATCGATGATGATGATGATATACCCTTAGATGATGAAGTCACTAATAATAATAAGACAAAAAAAATATACTGTTCTTCGAATGAAATATTGATTTTGTGTATTTTATTAATAGTTTCACGTTTACAAATGTACCTTGAAAACATCTTCACATAGCCACAAGTTAAGGCAAGCAACAGCAATCTCCACTACAGCAATAAACAGCAACTGAACTCCACTTGCAACGCCCAATAGTGCACCAAAGGTTATAAGAACAGTTGCCGACATTATATCCGCCTCTGTAATATATAAAACAATGAGATTATCGTAGATACTTAAATTACCATGATAAAATTCGTCATTCCTGTTAGGTCCTGGGTAGCTTAGTGGCAGTCGCCCGGATTGCGAAAGGTTCGAGCCCCATTTCAGAGTTCCAGGGACAAAGTAAATTTTTTAATCATTATTCATTAAGAATACTTTTCAGTATAACATTCAGAATGCAAAACTGATCAAATATAATAACCAAAGATACCGCTCACCTGTTAGATCTACAAAGACAATAAGTTCAAAGGTTGAATTACATACCTATATGATATTTCCACGGTCCTAATAGATTGAAGAAAGAATAATCACTTTCTCCTGAGGGCTTAGTCTTTTAATCATCATAATAATTATAATTCCAACTGTTCTTGTAAATAATTTTGTTAAAATCAAATTCATGTAGGTTATCTGTGCATCAGAGGCAATGTCAGGTTCTACCTCTATAGCCGTGGAAAAATCATTGAAAAATGCCTTTATTATTAGACTGTGCCTGAAGTCTAAAACGACACATTTTGAAAATACATAAAATTCTGTTTTCGTAGAAATAGAACAGGCCTTCTGCACCGGTACACCTTTGTACAGTGAAATAGTAATTTCAAGGATTTTACTCAAATTTTACTTATGTCACCAAAAGCCAAATAAATATTAGGCGGTACGTTAAAATCACGAGTAATAAAATAGTGTGACACGATAACGTTAACGTAAAAACAATTATGGAATTAAATTATCACAGAACACTGAATATTCCACCAGATAATGTCGCCCCAATATCATGGATATTCATGATCACGCAACCTGATTGATAGTGTAATGATTTTTGTGTATCCTTTATTGAAGATGTATTAAAAATCCAGCAAAGGGTTCCTTACTGGTAAGGAGCAAATATCACGATTTTGTATAGGAACCCCTTTAAGACACTTACTTTTATTATTTGTTGTTATATCAGCAACAGATATACATTATCTGTGAAGATATTAACTGTCTAACTTGTATCGACTATCACGGGTCATGAGATACAGCCTGGTGACAAATAAACGGACGGAGAACGGAATCTTTGTAATGGACTTCCGTTTACCATTTACATAAATGCGATACCCAAAAAAGTAGTTATAGAAATCAAACTAGATGTCGCTACGTACTTTAAAGTAGTTGCATTAAACGTAACGGCAATCCAATAATGTACGAACTTTTTGTCAGATGTAAGAGAATTGAATTGAATTTTGAGAATAGGTAGGTTGACGTCAAATTTCTAGCTCTTTCTATAATCTACTTACTGGATTGAGTAATAAAATATTTATTTGCACTTCACAAAATACATTTTAGTATTAAAGTTGAAGAGCAATATTCTATTTATCGATTTCTTTCGAGTCAAGAAACAACGTTTAACGGTAGCGAACTTAGTCCCATAAATCAATCTACTTCAGAAACAAAGGGTTGTTAGGAACAAAAACAAGTTGTTACTTGTTTGTGACTTCGTGGCGACATCGAAAGTATTTTGATAAAATACTTGGACGAATAATCTGATATTAGTTTCTTATGAACAAAAGTCTAAGTAGGTCGAACAATTTGTATAAAATGGGCAATACTTAACACAGATGCCGGAGTGTTTTGATATTCACGAGCACTTCTTGACAATCTATAGATTGTCAAGAAGTGTCTATAGACACAAGTAATGCTCTAATGAAAAATGCTTATTAATTTAATGTAAATAATTGAGTCCATAACCTTTCAGAATCCGGGTTACTGCTCTAGTCATTGAGTTACACGAGACCCAACAGGGGAGCGACTGCATAACTCTAGCCATAGTTATAGGAACGTTCTATTGATTCTATGAACATATTAACTCCTATTATATATATTCTTATATAATAGGAATATTTCATTTTAAAAGGATATCATAAGATTTATTGATAAAAATATATATACAAGGCTAGAGAGCTGCATCGTCGCAGACATTTATATACGCACGCACAACTACATACACGTTTCTTAACTTAAAAGCACGCTCTATTATTTTATTAGCTTTATTTTAAATTGAAAGTGGAACAAGGAACAACAGCTTTACGCTGACTACTATTACGGTTTGATCGAGTTAGTTTCACGTGGTTGAATCTAAGTTCTATGTCAAAATAAATATAATTTACTTTTACTCGGTGTCCACGTAATTTTACAATTACACCTCGTACACTAGGCGTCTGAATTAAGAATTTAAAATTGAGAACGTCTCAAACTACACTTAACGGTACTTGAACGCGTTTTCGTTATTGATTTTAGTTTTTTCAATGATCAATTGATAGCACTTCGATAAAACTAGGACTTTCTGACGTAGGTATAAAATGTAAAAAGCATTAGTTATTGAGATAATCAGATGAGATTTTGTGCTATTCTCAATTTAGAAAGTCTTAATTTTATTCTTTCTTTCCTTCATTTGAATCTTAAATAACCATCAGTGATAATTACTAACAGTCTTATTAATAAACAAGGTTTAGCGTTGGAGTAATTTTACGCTGCGACTGCACTTTTTATTAGTCTAAATTCATATTATTAGACAGAGATTTAGCAAAGGTTAACCTAGCACAAGGTACTACGGGAAAAATATTTACTCATTGTAGGTTTGCTTATTCTCTGTATAATATAAATTTGGACTAATACTAATAATTGTATATTTTAGAGTTAATTCACTCTGACGTTAAGCCTTCGTAATAGCGCCGTTATATTTTTCTTCAGTTAGATATAATATCTCCTTCATATCGGTCTCTCTATAGGACATCTTCCCTTTCGCGTCGCCTGTTGTAACATCAAGTTCAAAACGGTTTTCTTAGAATATTCGGTTGTGTTTCCAGTCTGGGTTTATATGTTTGAGTAGCTATGTCTATTTCTTCTTTCTTTTTTATGAGATTTGATTATACGCGATTATACACATTTTGATTATACACGTGGGCAAAAGCGCTGGCAAAAAGCTAGTTATAATCAATGACACGGTGACAAATATAAAATCTTTTAAAATAGTAACGTCAGATCAATTTTTCAAAGTTTTCATTTAATAATTTTAAGTGATATTGATATTTTAATATAATGTAACACTAAAATTATTCAACATGATAATTTCACCATGTTGAATAATTTGAAAAGAAGATTTTGTGAATTTGCTCGTCATTTCTTTCAAATAAATCTATACTCATATTATAAAGAGGAAAGATGTAATTGCTTTTTTTTGCATTGGATAGACTCCGAAACTTTTGGACCGATTTATAAAAGTCTTTCATCCATGGGAAGCTACATAGTACGCGTTGGACACAGGCCACAATTTATGCAGGTGTAGTAGCGGGGAAACAGCTAACTTCATAGAAATCGATTCACCATTTAAGAAGCAATCAATTTACATACCTACTTTCATAAAAAAGATATTCATACTACTTGAAAATTAAAAAATCCTCCTTTCGAATTTTGAATGAATTTAAAATAGGCAATCTTTTGTTTTTTTAGGTGAAATACAATACATATATCAGGTAAAAAGCGTATCTAGTGAAAAGAAAAACTACTGATTCTTATTCGATAAAATTTAAATGGGACTACCTCGGTCAATTAAGCTGTCGAAAAAAAAAGAATATTGAAAATCGGTCACAAAAAAAAATATTAAGCTTTATATATTAGCTGTACATTAAAATAGAGTAAAATTAAACTTTACCCAATGCAACTTAGTTATTTATGAGTGAGCAACTTATGATACATTAATGGTTACCTACATAACTAATCCTGAGAAAAATATGAGGCCGCTATTACGAAGGTTTACGACTAGAAGTTGGATAATAACGTAGCTGTAATCAGAAACAGGCTCGTAGTGATGGGCATTGCTTTTACCGTTAATTCGGTTATTTTCAAATATAAATTTTCAAATAGTCACTACCGTGTTTATGAATGCGGTACTCACTCGGTGATTTTTATGATATTCAATGAATTATAGCTCTTAAGTTAACAACTATACATACACATAATTTTACATAATATACAGGTATTAGAATCCATGAACCCTCATCCCCTAAACGTCTTAACTGATAAAAAATATGGAACGTCTTAATCAAGGCTTGTAGGATATTCCTAACATTTGCATTGAACTTTAATATCAACACATTATATTATATAAAAAGACAATAATAATGATTCTTTCTTAATTAAATTAAAAAAAACTTACCTAATAAAGACTTCTTGGTGATTAGTATAGTATTATCTTTCATATGATAAAACGACTGGCAGAGTAGTGCCCATTGAATGACAAGGGCTGCCAGTAGCCAGTTGAAGCCAAGGGCACTGTAGCAGTACTTCTTCAGGAATGTCATCAGGAAGCCGAAACCGATGAAGATCATCACGTGGGTGTCTTCAAAACCTAGAAAAAATAGGAATAGATTTCTTCAGTCATGTTGCATGTGATTAATAAATATATTCACTGTGTTTTTATTAATTCTATATTGGGAAAGTATCAGATCTGCTTGGCGAGTTGCACTCTGGAGGCTGATTTTCATTAGTCTATATTAGAGACGCGTCAATTAGTGGTTTCACCGAATAACAGAATGCCGAATACCATACGGTTTAACCTTTACTGCACCAGATATTCCGGTAAATTATTCAGTTTACCATTTCACTAAAACCGTGAAATGGCCCCCTAAATAGGTTTAAAAACAAATGTGAAACTGAAGTTTAATTACTTTATTTTATTTGCGTTACTGGACACATTCTTCATCAGATTTCTTTTACTTTTAATATAATATATACCTTACATAAGAAATTTAGTCTTTTAGTACTATACCATGTCATATTGTCAAGAAAATAGAAGTACTCAAATCCGGCACCAAAACCGAATAATTCTGCCTAATATAAATAGTGAAAAAGATGCCGAATACGCCGAATACCGAACGAATATTCTTCATCTCTAGCCTTTATAAAACAAACGGGATTTCTCTTAATATGGACTCTATGGCATAGGTGACCAAAAATCTTTCCACAATCTGCATATAGGTCCAACCAACCATTGAAAATGCACCATAATGACAAAACATTACTGTTGAAAAGGCACCTTAAAAATACGAAAATCTTTTTAAGTCGCGACCTACTTCGTACAACTTAAGCTGAAGCAGCATCCTGATTAATTCAACTATTACAATTAATATTTTCTCTTTGCCCAATTTTTATGACGTGTTTTTAGTCATTTGACACCTTAAATGGTTCTATCTAAAGCAAATGAGCACATATTTAATTCTACCGTTAAGTTTTTAAAATGTTGCAATCCACAAATGTGTTAAAATGGCCAAAACTGGGCCATGATCTTAAAATGGCCAAGACCTTGTTTCACAGTCATAATCAGTCACAACGACGTCTACAGATATGTACATATCTGTACTAATAATAAAGCTGAAGAGTTTATTTGTTTGTTTCGTTGGTTGGTTGAACTCTAGATTCTCAGGAGCTACTGGATCGAATAGAATATTTTTTTTGTTGTGAAACGGTGAAATGTACGGTAAAAGCATGCATTACAAATTTAATCCTCTTCAAAAGTTCTAAAAAAAAAACCACGAGAGCAAATGTCTATCTTACATATTATCCCATAAAGGAATGAAAATGGGAGTGGGAGTTCGTAGAGGGCATTAAAATCATTATAGAAACCATTGTTCCATTTTGTCATTTTAATTACGAGTATATTCCATGTCATCCTTTTTCAGATCCATTTTTAAAAAATTAAGCTGTTTTGAATAATGTTTTAAATAATTCAAATCAGTACAATCGTCGTCTCTAACATTAAATGCTGACGTTATGTTGACGCTACTGGTCACTAGATGACACTACCGTGCTTTTAAAATGGGATTTTGATTTTTATTATTCGAAGTAATTATTTTTTCAAAATTTTAACCGACCTCAAAAAAAGGAGGAAGTTATCAATTCTTACTGGGTGGACCGATTTTAATGATTCTTTCTTTATTTGAAAGTCAGTGCTAGCGTTTGTAGGCCCATTTTAATGTGGTCCAAATCTGGCAATGGCATCTATGAGAAAACCATTTAAGTCTTAAATTTGCATTAAATATGTGTGATGTTTGGTACCCCAAAACTCGAAAATCACTAAAATACATGATCAAAAACTTTTTATTAAAATAAATAGAACCGACTTCAAATTTAAAAAAGGGAAATCTAATAATTATTTTAAAATGGGTTAATTAAAAAAAAACTACAAAAAACCTCAGCCCGACTTAATTTTTTTTTTCTTTTTTAATTACCGCTATTAAGATAAGTATATTTTTTTTATAAAACAAAATAGCTTTCGTTTCAAATTTTGCAAATTTTCCAATAACATCTGTTAATTTTTAATCAGGTCAAAAATAAAATGTTACAACTTCTTGTTTTCGCTAATAACGATAGAGTATTTTTAAACGGGGTTTTAATTTTTTTTTGTTTGTTCTATTATTTTTTCCAATTTTTATTAAACAGAATCGCTTACATAGTAAAATTTTGCGGTTCCACAGTCTATCTAACCTTATTGTTTGTACGTCGGTCTGCGGTTTAGCTCAAAAACGATTTGTAATAGAAAGGTGTAATTAAGCACCCAGTCACGCCGACAAAGTGGTAAAATAAAAACTTAAAAAATAATTGTTTACGTCTCCTACATGGAAAGTTGAAGAGAAAAAAAAAACTTTCTTTTTTTGATAGTCTTTTCAAAAATATTTGAGGTGTGGGATGACCGTTTCTCGATTTAGTTAATCGTTCGTGACTTATCTATTCCTTATCAAGCTTCATAATCGTATAATCAAATGTCTCCCCCCCCCTATACCAACTAAATGGTTGTTTTTAGAAACTCAGACGTTACGGCCGTAGTATATTAATATATGATGAATTTAATAGGAAAACTATCACACTAAAGTTGTCTTTACAAATTTGCGAGTGATAGTCGACCAAATGTACCCTCCGACCATGTGGGCAAAGCCGCGGGTTACAGCTAGTTTACTTATACTGGTCTTACTTGTCGCCAAAACAAATGTGGCGTATTGTCAGATATTCCGTCTGGTTTGCGCTGATCCTAAAACGTATTTTACTTGGTTTTAAGGAATCGAGCCTAAAAAAACAGAGGGCGTTATTAGACGGATTATTCACACACTTGCTGTTTCCTAAGGGGCATTACTCAACATTAATTCTCTCGCGCCTTCTTATTTTAGTATAACGAACAATTATCTTCAGAGCCTATAATCCTTTAAAAAATAACGTTATAATGGAAACGGTCTAAAATTTCTTATAACCGTGATGTGTATTTAAAATACCTTCATAATTTACAGAAGATTTCGAAGAAATTATTTCACAAATGATATTATTTAGATTAATATATTTAGCAAATCCATATAAAAGCCCTGTTACAAATTTGCACTTTGTGAGATTAGGTATTGGAAGCTTCTCGACCACGTGTCACGAATTCACAATACCATAGTATTACAGAATAGTACTCAACTCGGAGCAAGCGATATTAGCCTAAACACGTAGGGTTGTTGCTTATATGTACTTCAATCGTCAGAAATGCAATGACCGTCTCTATGGAAAACATCAGGGATCTATAATACAACGTTAATTGATTATTTCTTGACGTGAATGAAAACTTTAATGAAAACCTTTTTTATGAAAACTGTTGTTGAGTGTTTTGATAAATTACTGTCGAAAAATTAGTCAAAACGTGGCATTCGTGAATCATGAATGTAATCAATAAAACCAAATGATTGTAAAATTTTATTTATCTACACTCAAATCGAAAAATTCGAAATACGAATTCAAAGACGATTATAGAATCGTATGTATACACATACACACTTTATAAACGCATATACATAAAATTAAAAATGAAACTCATTATAGTACCGCTATCTTTTTTTATTCATTAGACTAGTCTATGGTTTTAGGCTGAATATGAAAAAAAGGCGCACGCATAAATTGCTTCCTTGTAACCTAGCTCCTTTCTTATATGACAGTTGCATAAACTACTATTTTTATACTTGTAACCATGTCTACATACAAAATTCAAATCTTTCAATTTGATGACTTAATATTTTTACAAATGTTGATGATTATGTTTTTCGTGCCAATTATAGGAGGACATTTGAAATTTTCACAAAGTATGTGTCATTAAGACCAATACGACGACTAATTATATAGACCCAATACGACAAATTATATAAATTACAAAAATGATACGTTGTTCTTGTGTTCGTTAGATTTTTTAAATTACGGAAGGACATTACATACGATATGTTAGCTTCCATAAAGATCATATTTTGAAATAATGATTTAAAATAGATGATTTAGCTTTACCTAGCCTTTCATATCAACAATTTCGGTATATAATAATTATATTTTGGATCAGTTTATTCATTATACGTATTCGAACCCACTTATCTAAGTAATCAGTGAAAAAGTTTTTCACCTTTCCCTTGACGTTGATGGATAACCACTACTTCATCCCGACAAGACACCAATGATCGATTTACGCATAAAAAAACTCTCCACACTTAATTACGTTTTTGATGGCTATTAATCAACTTCCAATAATAATAGAGGAAGTGGCTGAATGAATGGGAACGCACCAAACACTTTACAAGGAGTTATAAATGTTTTTACTTATCAAAATCTTTTAAGAGTTGGGTAAGTGTATAACGGTGCGTCGTACCACCGACCGTCTATTACGTCCTAGGTACCTGCATGCAAACTTTTTGTGTACATGAACAATGTGAAAATATTGACAATTTTTTTAGAAATACTTGGGTAAAAGGAATTAAAAATAAATAGGTATGATCTTCAACATCATTTCAGAACACCTTTACACAGGAAACCGTTACAAGTGTATGTAGCAAATAAGCATCCATAGCTAAGCATGTATTCCCAAATTTTATTAGAAGAAATAGAGTATCGAAATCGATAGACTGATATCAAAAAGAAAAAAGAATAGTACGGATTTACATAAAAGAGTATCACTCATTTAACATTTCAAAAAATATTGTTTGTTACTGTTCCAGTTTCGGCAATAGGTTTATATTATATATGCTTATCTGGCACTAATATAATAAATATTGTAAACAAAAAATCATTTGTGTTTAGTGTCATATTTTCTAGAACACGGTACAATAGATACTATCGATGTTTACATAAAATTCACCAGCATGTTCTGCCGTTTCAGTCGAAGTGCGAATATGTTAATGTTTTTAAAAACTAGTACATGTACACAATAATTACGTGATACATGTAATATTAATTATACTCGTATAATAAATAATCTGATAAAAAATCTAAAATTGAGTATTAGGGCGATTGTGCACTACACTAAATTTTAAGGTCCGGCGGTCCGATTTTTTCCGGTCCGGAATA